AAAATGAGTGTTAAATTATATTCAAAATAAAAAATGTTGTTTACATGAATTGTGTCGACAATCCGAATTTTATATTTTAGAGACAACTTTGATATTTTATATATAGTTCATATTGTAATCTGTAGATAATAGGATCCATATTTGTTACGTCTAGAAATAGATTCCTGATATTACGTGTACATATATAGATTTTGGTCAACTAATTTTTTTTTCCACAAGACCCATTAATATAATATACCTGCTCTCAATTCACTATAAATTTTGATAAATAAAGATGAGGTTAGTTGATGAAGTATCATTTATATCATCCAAACAATTATATCATACTTTTTGTGACCGATTTTGAAGTCACTAAATTTGCGACTGTTTTATAACTGATATGTGATTAATAAGCGATTATGAAAATACGAGACGCAAAATAGTCACATATTTGCGACTAACAAATTCAGTCGTTGTGATAGATTTGAAGAAAACCTTAGAAGTAGAATAGTTTCTCTTAATTTTATTCACTACCCAATAGGCTTATTTACATAAAAATCATAACTTGTCTAACAAGTTCTTTACATTTACAGAATAGGAAATCTAACTTATACACAAACATTAACTTTCCTAATATTTTTGATATTGACAATCTTCTGGAAATCTTCCTTATTTCCATAATCTTGGTTTGATCATTTAGACCGTTCACTCCGGGTCGATCTCGACCTCTCGATCTCCCAATATCCCTTGGCAAGCTCATACGTGGTAACACGGGTGAGATTGGACATGTCTTCAAAATATCGGCATTATACTCGGCCGGCGAGTCATCATCGACATTTATACTCGGTCGTAGGGCCATCTTCGGCTGCAACACCCGACCGTCGGGTCATCTTCGTGGCGTTTATATCCGGCAATAGGGTCATCGGTGGAAGATACTGTAGTAGTTGTGTATCTCCATCGTTTCATGTCACCATGTAAACTGAACGAACTCATTCTTGGTTCATGCTCATAATCTACGGCAACGTCATCATCTTGTCATCACCTCCATCGGATCTGTGTATACCCGTCGGAGTCATCATCTTCGTGGCTTCATCGAATTTTGTAGTTGTCGATAACAACATGAAGAATTTTATTAAATCTTGCATCAAAGAAGAAGAATCGTAGAGGGGAAGTAGTAGATTTTTTTTTCTTTTTAAGGAAACTTTAGAAGTAGAATAGTTTCTCTCAATTTTATACACAAACATCAACTTTCCTAATATATTCGATATTGACAATCTTCTGAAAATCTTTCTTATTTCCATAATCTTGGTTTGGTCATTTGGACCGTTCAATCTCGGTCGATCTCGACCTCTCGATCTCCCAATACGTTGAGTACTCGCATATTGGCGACTGAATAACGACTCTTACTGGAGAGATAGATATTCGTCACCAAATAATCACAAAATACGACTGATTTGTGACCACCTACATAGTCAAAAAATATAGTCGTGATGAAGTCACCAATTTGCGACTGATTTGTGACTCCCTGAGGACGTCTCGAAAGAGTCGCAAATTCGTCACAACGAATCATGTCGGTAACCTTGTCGGATAGCATGTCGGCAAGATATTATTGTTCGTGAACACGTGATTAATAAGGTTGGTTGATATTGTACTTAATATTTGTGACACCTAAAAGTAGTCACTAATTCGTTACAAAAGAGTCCTAGAAGAGTCACAAATTTGTGGCTGGTTTCGTGGGCGTCACAAAGTAGAGGCAAAATTTTGCCTATATAAGCAGCACATGCCTCCCCCATTCTCATTCACAGTTTTCAGATCAAAAAAAAAAGGGGAAAGAAAAAAAAAAGGAAAATCGCATAAAAAACCTCCAAAGTGAGAACCACTAGCACTTTAAACCTCGAGAGTTTATCACTTACATAATAAACCTTCAAAGTAACAATTTTAGCTAAATAAACCTTCGTCAATTTAGTTACTCATTATTTATTACATTTTTAAATTT